GACGCCTTCGTAACAGTCATCATCGGTGGCCTCGGTCCTCAGTGGCGCGCCACCAAAGCAATTCTTCGAGCCCACGGAAGAATTTCTGAAGCAGCACTCTGCGCCAAAATCCACGCCGAGCAACAGGACATGGACCTGCAAGAAGAAAGGCACAAGAAGAAGTCATTAGCACCGGAGTTTGCGTTTCACACTCAGCGACGATACAACAATCGACAACAGCAACAAGTGAAGACAGTACCTCCATTCTGTCACATCTGCAAAACCTCGGGCCATCCTCGCACGCATTGCCCGTCCCGTCAGACGACACCACATCGACAACTGCGGCCTTTAAGCTCCCAAGTTGCTTCGACACAAGCAAGTCCGACAACCACGATCCAAGCTTCAACGACTTCAACTGGACAACCTGCACAAGGAGCAAGAAACATAGTCAACTGCATGGTGAAGATAAACGATTCTTGCACAACAGAGTCACCACCCCACTACTCACCAGAAGAGGAGCTCGACAACAGGACGCCTCGCCGCGAATCACTCCACCCGAATCCGACTTACGCCGCCATCGCTCAAAGTGAACCGTCCGGCCAAGACACTTGGTTCTTGGATAGTTGCTGCGGGCAACACATGTGCTCGTCCGGGCGCTTCGTACAACGCGAACACCGAATCCAGCGAGAAGTAGTCATCACGGTCGCCAACTATCAAAACCTGCGCACACGACGACAAGGAGTGGTACAGCTTCAGTCAAGAGAAACAAAAGTCATACTGCACATGTCAAAGGTACTCATCGCAGAAGGACTCGGTTACAACTTACTGAGTGTTAGCCAGCTGATGGCGAAGGGGATTCACCTGGAAGCCGACAGCACCACCCAGGAGTTCAAGCTATACCATGGGAGAGGCGGTCTCTACATCGGGAAAGCAGTATTGAAGAACAACGTCTTCGTTCTCGACTTCGTTCCCAACCTGGGCACTGCACACAGCGACGCCATCGTGAACTTTACTGACTGGACACACCCTCCGGATCTCGATCCCAACTTCAGCCCGGGAGGTTTCTGGTACTCCCACACTATCCCTGAAACAGAACGAACACGAGCGTTAGCAACGATTCATCAAACGGCAACAGCAGAGACAACTTCGGCAGCAGCAGAGACAACATCGGCAGCAGCAGAGACAACATCGGCAGCAGCAAAGACAACATCGGCAGCAGCAGAGACAACATCGGCAGCAACAACAACATCGGCAGCAGCAACAACTTCAGCAGCAGCAGGAACAACGACACCAGCCACAGTCGACGAAGCACCACCAACATCCGCACAACAGCTGAATCCAACTCAACGCGAAGTCCACCGAAGCGCCAACTTCGTCGCCAGCTTTTACTCCAACTCCGACCCATACCAACGTTCACCCGGACACCGCGCCTCTGAAGAAATCTGGCACGCACGCACAGGACATCCAAGCAACACGGTCTTAAATAACACGATAAGATCAAGAGTTCTTGACAAAGACTCCCTACTACTACCCGACGGCAGAGAACTCCAAAAGGCACGAGGGACTTGCCTCATCTGCCCTGAAGCCGACTTACCGCATCGATCGTTCCCTTCTCACCATAACCCGAGCGCGCCCGCGTACGCAACACTCGAAAAGGTTTACAGCGACATCCTCTACAATCGCGAACCAGGACAAGTTACCTACAACTACACCATCACCTTCATCGACGCCGCCACTCGATACGTCTGGCATCGCAACCTACCCAGCCGCGACATGGCACTCGCAGCATTCGCCGCCTGGCTACCGATAGCAGAAAGAGAATCAGGAACGCAGCTGAAAAGCTTCCAGTCAGACGGAGGTGGCGAGTACACCTCTCAGCGCTTCAAGCAGTACCTGGCGGAAAGGGGGATCAAGCAACTCCTCTCCCTTCCCTACGCACATCAGCAGCAAGGTGTTGCAGAAAGAATGAACAGGACCCTGCAGAACAGCATGCGCAAACTGCTACGTGGCATGCGGCTACCCAACCACCAGTGGCCAGCAGCGATGGACCATGCTGTCATGCTGCACAACTTGTTGTCGTCGTCGTCACTCCCGAACAACGCATCACCGCATCTGCTGTGGACAGGAAAGCAGGGCAGCACAAAAATGTTACGTGTTTTTGGGTGCATGGTACAGTACAGACCCCCCGAAGCACGAGCGGGAAGATTTTCGCAACGAGCACAGTGGGGACTACACCTCGGCATCGAGAAAAATTACAACGCGTGGAGAATCTTCGACGTCCACACAAAAGAAACAGTGGCAGCACGTGATGTAATCTTCTACGAGCGACTCACCCTTCAGACGTACCTCGCCAACTTGCACGAAAATCGGGACCTCACAGGTGGCTTTCGTGGTGACCGAGCCTTCGCCTCAGCAGCGGACGAAGCAGATTGGGATGAACAGAACGTCGACAACGCATCGGAGGAAGCCGGACCTCTTCCGTACTGCTCCGTCGACGTGCCCATGGATGAGGATAATCCTCGCGACAGTAACAACGCCGAAGTCTTCTACCATTTCGCCGACAACGGTTACGTAACACCTGCGACAGTCAACACCAACGAAGCAGAAAGGGTAGGGCCAAATTTCATACCCGACCCAGAAGCGGGAGACGAAGCAGCTTATCCCGCGGATCCAAAACTCCCTCGATACACACAGAGTGGCCTCCAAATCCTTGGACTCGTCACCGCAGTCCATGGCGTCGCCATTCCTAAAGAGCCTGCGACCGTTCAACAGGCTCTGGGGGGGGAACATAGGGAGAAATGGCGTGAAGCCATGGACAAAGAGCTGAAGGCACTGGAGGAGCGCAACACCTGGAAAATCGTTCCCATCGGCGTAGCACAAAACAAGACTATCCTTACCGGGAAGTGGGTCTTCCGTGTGAAGACGAAAGCTGACGGCACCATCGACAAATTCAAAGCTCGCTGGGTCGTGCGCGGCTTTGACCAGGAGCACGGAAGAGACTACACCGAAACCTTCGCTCCGGTCAGCCATCACACCTCACTCCGAATCCTCATCGCCATCGCCGCCATGAAGAAAAAGAAACTGCGACAAATCGACGTCGCAAACGCATTTCTCTACGCACCTGTGGATGCAGAAATCTTCGTCGAGCTCCCGCACGGCTCCCACGGTGAACCCAACCAAGTCTGTCAACTGTTTAAGTCGCTCTACGGGATCAAGCAGGCACCGCGACTGTGGCAGCAGTACCTGCACGCCCGCCTTATCCGCATCGGTTTTAAACAACTCCCGCATGACCAGGGCATGTACCGCCTCACAAAGGGAAGCGACTACGTTCTCCTGATCGTCTACGTGGACGATCTCCTCTACATTGGGTCAACCGACGGCATCGCCACGTGGTTCGAAGGGGAGCTGTAGAAGGACCTTACTCTCACCGTCTCATCTACCGTCACGCAATATCTCGGACTCAACATCCGAGAAGGGAAGGACGCGATCTACCTCAGCGCCGAGAAGTACGCCGACACCATCGCGAAACGCTTCGGTCTCACACCAAGCGCCCTCTCCACGCCTTACCGCTACACGTCAGGAACCGAAAAGGAACGATCTACTCTACTCAAGCCTGCCGGCATACGCGACTATCAGAAGAAGCTCGGGTGTCTTCTCTTCGCAGCAGTTACATGCTGTCCCGACTTATCCTACTCCGCGAGTCAGCTCGCCACCTATCTCAAGAAGCCTGAAGCAGAGCATCTGGCGGAACTCGATCGCGCTCTCCACTACTTCGTCAGCACCGCGACGATCGGACTAACTTATCACAAAAACGCAACTACACCGACCAAGCTAATCGGCTACGTCGACGCCGATCACGCCGGCGACACCGATAACAGGCGCTCACGCACCGGCTATGTCTACCGCCTCGAGCCTATCGGTCCTATCTCCTGGCAGTCGAGTAAGCAGGAGTTAATCGCACTGTCTTCAGCTGAAGCGGAATATATCGCACTCTGCTCAGCCACCATGGAGGGACTTTACCTTCGCGAACTGCTGGAAGAAGCGAAGTTAGCCGAGTTACCCAGCTTCACCGTGTTCTGCGACAACCAGTCAGCAATTCGCATCGCCAACAAGAACGGCTTCGCAAACAGGACGAAACGCATCGCCCTGCGCTATTTCTTCGTGAAGGACGAGATGGAGAAGGGGAAACTCGAACTGTCCTACTGTCCCACGTCCGAGATGGCAGCCGACTATTTGACCAAGAAGCTCGGAAAACAGAAGTTCGAGTACTGCATGCTGCTGACTGGACAAGGCCACGTCACCATCAGCGACACTCCAGAAGCGAAGGGGGGTGTTGGAAACAATAAGTCTTAAAGGCGCCTCTGTCGTGTCAAAACCCAAGACACTAGCGAAGCAGTCCGAATCGAAGCATCGAGTCAAACCTCGGAGGTTAGGGTAACCGCCTGGAGGTTACGGGAAAGTCAAAGGTCAGCGACCTTTGACTCGACAATTACAGCGCGACAGCAAGGACACACAACTGACTCGACATTGAGCAGTTGCCCGAGTCGCACTGTATCGAATCGCAACAGTAAAACGGTTTGAATCTATCTATTCGTATTCCTTGTACTCTTATATAAACCTTGTATTTGCTTGTTTTAATCAATCTACTTTGCTCTCACACACTAGTGCAAGGTCGGTTCACAAAACTTCATTAAACGCTTCCGCTATTACAAAGTATCCTACCCAGAGTTATCATCTGCAAAGATCCTTAGGGCTTTTCTCAGCCCAACAACTGGAACCTCCGAAAAAATCGGGATGGGTCTCGGAACCTGGAATTTAACTTGAGCGATTGTAAAAATGAGAGACGTGGGTGGGGGAAGAATGACCCCAGCCCACATTATATATTCGGAGAAGGCGCATACCGCGCTTCGACGATGCACCAAATTGCATTACAATCAGCTTCGCTTTCACAATACGCAAATTTGAAAGCGATAAACGCTTAGAAATTTTCCATATCTGCATATAAAGCACGGATACGCTATTTACAAGGAGGTGATCTCCAATCCTGCAAACCGTGGCTCAAGATAACACAATGAGCTACACCCTAGCCCCTGGGTCCCATCCCATGTTGTTTGCAGAAGTCCTTACAATTTTCGAACATGAACGTGACATGGTCATGCTCATACGGGTCTCTTCTTCAACTTCCCGCAAAGAGCATGGTCATTTTCTGGATGAGAAGCAACCAAATGTGCGCCAGTTGATTGATGAGTATAGGACTCAATGAATATCCTAACATCGGCCGGAGTGCCTGGGCCCAAAACCTGTGAGGCAGTGAAGCTGTAACGCTTGAGCCGACCACCCCTGGTACTCGTGATGTTCTCCCACGCACTACCTTCATATCCTGCCTCAAACTTGCCAGCAAGGCAATTCAAAACGGTGTCCATGGAGGGCACAGCCCCTCCAGACCGGACGTTGTTGACTCGCACTTTGAGCACAACGTAGTTGGCACTTGCAGAGGCCCTGTCACCGAGGCACGGGAGAATAGGAGGGACAGGAGCACCACGTGTTAATTCATGCCTCCCCACACGATATTTTTGCAAGAACAGGAGAATATGACACGTTCACACTCTTAGAAGTGTTTAAAGCTGAGTTAGCAACCTGTTGTGTTCTGTGTTAAGCTGAATTGTCCAACATATCGTCAATAAAGTCGATGGCAATAATTGGCAGCATTTGCATGGCTTCACCAAAGCCAGCTACTATGGGTAAGAAATAATGAACTTACTTGATTCCCTTCATGATTACTTTTCCAGTTGCTCCTCGGTCGCCAACCACTTTTCCGTTGCTACGAGGGGGAGTGAGCCTGGCCACATAGCGCACTGGAAAAGGAGGGCAGGGCAGGCATAAAGGAAAAGGTAACTGAAAAAATACTTGAAGTTGTTTCCGTTTCTGGATCTTGGATGAATGGTCCAAGGGGGTTAGTAGGCGCATTAAAATGTGCGTGAGTGAACCAAACATTTTGTAGTGGAAAGATAGTACAACTTTAGGCAACCGGTGGAGCAGTAACAGCCTGTTAAACGGAGCAACAAACGGAGCGCAGCCCGACACCTTGATGTTGGAAGGTAAAACTTTTATGGAAATCATTGCTCGGTTTGCGAGTTTTGAGACGCCTCTAGAATCGGAGAAACACCAAACCGAAGGAAGCACTTACGAAAGACCTTTCCCTTCACCAACGGAGTGGCGTGAGTGGAGGAAGTGACAGGCAGCCGTCCGCCGGCGGCGGGGAGGAAGGCTGCGAGGGACGCTGAAGGTGGTGATGCTGTGGGGGTCGTCGGGAGTGATGACGTTGCAGTCGCTGTACACCCTGTGACAAGTGTTACAACTGCACAAAGGCACCACCCAAGACGAGCTTTAATCAGAAGGCGGCAGAGCCGTGCATCGGATGCACTTGCGAAAGGGCGTCAGTGCGGGCGCTCACGTATTAATACCCAGCAAAGCACAGCCCGCTCCATGACAAGAGATGACGGCGAGACGAGCCGTTGAAATCACAGCCGTAATAACATGCAGGTTTCAAAAGCGAGCAAAGATGCGGGACTAGATAACGCGATGATCAACAACAGCTAAGTTCGTTGCTACTTATGCGCGGTGAGGCGCTTTAGAGCAGTTCGGTGACAAATCTTGGAGCGGGACGTCGTCGTGCCTGAGTCGCATGATGAAAATCTTTCACCTGATGACGAGATGGTGCTAGGAGAAAGGCATGTGAAGCAGGAGCTATGGCGATTCCCATCTTGTTACAGCCCTACCAGCACATGCACAAGCACGGACGATTCCGAATCGCGCTGCACAGTCCGCTTGGCAAGCGGGCCGCGGGACGGAGGACAAATGGAAAGGTGTCTGGCTTTCCGGGTTCCGGGTTCTGAGTCGTCGGATTCCTCTCAGTTCAAAAACTCGCCTAGGTGCGAGACTTAAGCTTAGTGGAGAGCAGCTCCCAACGCATCTCCCGCCAACAAGAACGGAGGAATCGAGGGTTGGATTTGAGCGTGAGCGAAACAAGGTTTCCTAAGGGCGGGGTCGGCGCGTTCGTCCTGACCTGACTCGACTGGAAGCGACGCGTAACTGGCGTGCTTGTCGGTGACGTTTTCGCGAAAGATGAATTGGCAAACGTGGCCAAAATACTATTTTGGGTCAGCAACATGATGCAGTGACGTTGTAGCGAAGTTTCGGAGACCACTTCCGCACTGAACAGCTCGTCACAAGTTGACTCCCAGCCGCGCTCTTTTATCCGCTATTAGTCTGGAAGCTCCTTCGCGCAGTTCGGCAATAATATTGGACGAATCGACCCGACTCGCGACATGAAATATTTCACACGACGATGACGCCAGCTGCAGGACATGTCACCGTACAAGCAGACGATTCACGCTGCACGTGTCCAAGAGGGCGGCGGAAGGTGTCTGCCCTTCCGAGTTCTGACACGTGTACTGAGTCGTCGAATTCCTCTCTGTCCAGCTCGCCTTGCTGCAAATGCTAGACCTTTTCCCAACGCATCTCCCGCCAACGAACACGGGGGAGTCGAAAAATGAACCTCGAAAAATGAATCTCAAAATGGGGGGTGGGGTGGATGTGCTGAGACCGAGAAGCGGCTGGTGTTCGAGGTCCAGCCAGGGCTATCTTGTTCTTCACCATGATTGGCTATTCGTGACTCATGCGCAACACCCTTTCGCGACTAGCGAAATTTGCTATTTCGCTCATGCATTCCCATCCACGACCCCTCTACAGCTCATCACTGCAATCCACCACTCGAATGTAGAAACGCACAGAGAAAACTGGTGAATAATGTACACAGTAACAAAGTGATGCAATTTCCTTAACGCACTCACAAATTGAATGCATTTTCCATAACAGGACATTACTCAAAACAGGATGTATCAAAAGTTTGTACATGTATTAAACCAATCCACATGGGCATGTCCCACGTCCCTTATTTGCATGGCTGTGCCCTGGAGTCGTGGACTCCCAGCCACCGTACATGCCAGTTGGCGTGATGCTAGGTGTGTCTGTGCACATGGTGTGGTACAATGTGGTGCAGCATGGTGCTGTGAGATGTGACAACCGTGCAACTGTTGCTCAATCGCCAGCTCATTTTAGCCGGCCAATAGTGCCTCCAAATCAAGAGCAGGTGAGGTTGGGGGGAGGGAGCGGGATGGTGCTGCCGACAGTGGTAGAGTTGATACCAGCATTGGCAATGGCCTCATGCACTGTCGCCAGCCATAGCTGCAGCTGCACAGAGGGAAGGAGAATGACACAGGAGGACAGGAAAGAGAGGTGGTTAGATGGACATGTTTGAGATGCATCAAAGCTGGAGTTGATGCCAGCATTGGCAATGACCTCATGCACTGTTGCCAGCCACAGCTGCAGCTGCACGGAGGGACAGAGGCGTTGCACGGGAGGAACGGCTTGAGGTTAGATAGGGGCACGCTTGGGTAGCAAGAGGGGTAATGAGAGGTGAAGATGGGTGAACGAAAGACTGTCAGAACGCGACGAGCCTCACCTTGGCACAGCTGCGAGTGGCACATTCCAGCTTGAACCCGTAGCTGGTCGTCACGTGGAACGCAAACCACTCCTCCGATGGTGATGACGGCGTTGCTACAGCCGGCGCTACAGCAGATGATGTCTCCTTTGCTACAGCCGGATGTGCAGGGGCCATGTGGAGGGTGCCGGCGGAGGCGATGGAGGCGACGGGGAGGGTGATCTGCGGGTGCAGGTCGGTGGCGTGCAGGTAGCATGCTATGTCGGTGGGCGTGAGCGTCACGAAGCGCGGCACCCACTCGTCCTCCTCCGTGGCGGTGGTGCCATTGAGAGTAGCTGGGTCGTTCGGTGTGGACGCCCATTTCTGGGAGGACGGGACGCAAGGAGGGAGCGGGGGGAAAGGGGAGAAGGAAGGAAGTGAAAACGTGTGAAAGAGGGGAGGGAGGAAGGAAAGGGAGAGGAGGGTTGATGGGGATTTGCAGGTGGAGAAGGGAGTGGAAGATAAAGAGTAGGGGGGGGAAGAGAGAGGACCAGGAGGGTGATCTGCGCCTGTTTGCTGCTTACCGTTCTGGTGGGCAGATACTCCACGAGCAGAGACTCCTTCAGGAGGTCATCCAGGTGACACAGCCTGATCGCGGAAAGGGTAGGGGGACGGAAGAGGGAGAAAGCCAGGGTAAGTAGAGATAGGGTAGAGTGAGGGAAAGAACAGAAAGAAATAAAAAAGAAAATGAACAAGTGAGGCAGAGGAGGGAAGCAGCAGCAGCAGCAGCAGCAGCAGCTGCAGCAGGAGGCGACTCACTGTGCTTTGACGGTGCACTCCCTCTCCTCTGCTGCTGTCACCTCCCCTCGCAGACACACCACCTCCTCCACCACCGCCGCCACCACCTCCCCCTCCTCATCTCCTTCCCCCTCTTCCTCTCCCTCCTCTCCCTCTTCTCCCTCGCCCTCCTCTCCCTTGCTGCGTCTTCTCCGCTCGTCCGTCTCTTCCAGAGCTCGTGCCCTCTCCCTCTCTTCCTCAGCCTCCTGCTGTCCTTCCTGCCTGCTTCCCCAACCGGCAAACCACCCCCCCACAGCCCCAGCCACCCCACTCCCCTGCCTGCTTATCCGGGCGGCAGGAGACTGCAATGCTGCCGGCCGGCTTTCCCCTGCCCCACCGGTGGTATTTGTCCTTTTCTGCAGAAGATCTGATACGATTGAGGCGCCGATGCTGCTGGTGCGACGGTGGCGGAAGGGATGGCTGGAGTGGGGAAAATGTGAAGGGTGGGAGGAAGAGTTGAGCGAGGAGGAGGAGAGAGGAGGGAGGGAGCAGAAACTACTACCACTGGAGGTGCGTTGGATAAAGGTAGAGGAGGGAGAGGACCAGGGGGAATGGGAGGGCTGTGATGACCTGCAACTGAGAGCTGAAGGGGTGTTGGCAGTAGAGGAGGCGTCATAATGCCGGCTTTTAACTGAGTGTTGCTTGGGTAAGTGATGAAGGAGAACAGTGGGGTCGGAGCCGCACCGCACTGCACCCACTCCAACCTTGCCGTTCACAGCACCGCCGCAGAGCACCGCACTGCCACCACCAGCGGCTGCAGCCGAATCTACGGCAGACGAGGTAGATGCGGAGAAGTCAACAGTTGAGAGCGGTGGAGGTGGGTGGTGTGCGGCAGGAGGGGCAGCAGCCTCTGCGGTTACCAGCTGGCGGCGGTGGGATTCGAAGAGGGTGTAATCGGCCAATCGCATGCGAGCAAGAGCCGGGTGGGAGTTTGTGATGCCGACCAGCGAGAGACCGTCAACCTGATGCTGATCAAAGTCCCGTGCGTACTCTGGGAAAGAGGGAGAGAGGGATGGGGGGGAAGGGAGAGAGAATGAGGAGGGAGAGGGAAGGCAGGGTGGACATGCGTGATTCCGATGAGAGAGAGCCCGTTCACCTGATGCTGATCAAAGTCCCGTGCGTACTCTGGGGGAGATGAGGGAGGAGGAAGATGAGGGAGGAAGATGAGGGAGGAAAGGGAGCGGGGAAAAAGAGAGATGTGTGTTGCCGATGAGAGAAAGCCCATCCACCTGATGCTCGTCAAGTCACGTGCATACTCTGAGGCAAAGGGGGAAGAAGGAGAAGAGGGGGGGAAGGAAAGGGGGCTTCACTCTTTCAGACAAGGTGGCTCGGTGTATGCGTGCAGGCGTGCGGGCGTGCAGGCGTGCGGGCGTGCAGGTGTGCGTGCAGGTGTGCGTGCAGGCGTGTGTGCAGGCGTGCATGAATGTGTATCCCGCGTCTCACCTCGCCCACTGCCGTCTGGGAAGCCAACGGAGTGGATGAGCCACGAGCACACGTCACTCGTGCTCCACTCAATCAGACTGACCGGACCGCTCCACACCGCACTGCACTCCTGCAACCTCCCAGCACTAGCGCTGGCGCCAGCAGCAGCACCACCACCACCAGAAGCAACACGAGTAGCAGCAGTAACACGGTTACCAGCAGCTCCAGCAGCAGAGGCACCAGCACCAGCACCCAGGTCACGAGTGGCAGCAGTAGGAGCAAAGCCAGCAGCAGGCTGAGGGAAGGGGGCTGCTGAAGCAGGTTGAGGAAGGGGCGGCGGAGCATCCAGGGCGGAGGTGGAATTAGGGAGGGACGCAGCAAAGTTGCCGCTGCTGCCGCAGTGAACCCTGAGGTTTGGCCTTCTCCTAGCCCATGTGCTCTTGCCACTGCTGCTGCTGCCACTGCTGCTGCTGCCACCGCTGCCAGAGTTGCTCCCACTGCCCCTGGCACTTGTGCTGCCACCGCTCTGCACCGCATCCTTCTCTGCTACGTCCATGCCACCCTTTCGTCTTTCACCATCACCTGCTTTGCCTCCCATACTTTGCCTAGCCTCATTCCATTCGTCAGCCTTAGCCTCGGCAGCTCGCTGCAGGCGAGCAGGCTTCAGGCCCGGACCATCCGAACCTCCAGCCTCGGCAACAGGTTCGGTACTTCCTCCAAAACAGCCCTCTCTTTCCTTTTCCTCGT